TTGGTCCGTGTAGTTGTGTGTCCATGTGTCTGTCCAGTGGGGTGAACGATCCTTAGGTTTGGAGTGAGACGGTCATACTTGCAACCTGTTGTCGGCAGACACACACACGTACACACGCTGACGTACACACACTGACGTACGGTACACACACTTCTGCATACATACAAGGCAGCAGCCTTCACAGTCAGCACTGAACAGATTACTTCCTGATATACAGTGCATTCGGAAAGTATTCAGACCCCTTGACTTTTTCCACATTTTGTTAGGTTACAGCCTTATTCTAAAATGGATTAAATTATATTTTTTCCTCATCAATCTACACACAACACCCCATAATAACAAAACAAAACTGTTTTTTAGAAATGTTTGCAAATGTATTAAAAATAAAAAACAGAAACACCTTATTTACATAAGTATTTAGATCCTTTGCTATGAGATGCGAAATTGAGCTCAGGTGCATCCTGTTTCCATTGATCATCCTTGAGATATTTCTAAAACTTGATTGGAGTCCACCTGTGGTAAATTCAATTGATTGAACATGATTTGGAAAGGCACACACCTGTCTATATAAGGTCCCACAGTTGACAGTGCATGTCAGAGCAAAAACCAAGCCATGAGGTCGAAGGAATTGTCCGTAGAGCGCCGAGACAGAATTATGTCGAGGCACAATTCTGGGGAAGTGTACCAAAAAATGTCTGCAGCATTGAAGGTCCCCAAGAACACAGTGGCCTCCATCATTCTCTGCAGCACTCCACCAATCAGGCCTTTATGGTAGAGTGGTCAAACGGAAGCCACTCCTCAGTAAAAGGCATATGACAGCATGCTTGGAGTTTGCCAAAAGGCACTTAAAATACTCTCAGACCATGAGAAATAAGATTCTCTGGTCTGATGAAACCAAGATTGAACTCTTTGGCCTGAATGCCAAGCGTCACATCTGGAGGAAACCTGGCACCATCCCTACGGTGAAGCAAGGTGGTGGCAGCCTCATGCTGTGGGGATGTTTTTCAGCGGCAGGGACTGGGAGACTAGTCAGGATCGAGGGAAAGATGAACGGAGCAATGTACAGAGATATCCTTGATGAAAACCTGCTCCAGAGCACTCAGGACCTCAGACTGGGGCGAAGGTTCACCTTCCAACAGGACAACGACCCTAAGCACACATCCAAAGCAATGCTGGAGTGGTTTCGGGACAAGTCTCTGAATGTCCTTGAGTGGCCCAGCTAGAGCCCAGACTCGAACCCGGTCAAACATCTCTGGAGAGACCTGAAAATGGCTGTGCAGCAACGCTCCCCATCCAACCTGACAGAGCTTGAGAGGATCTGCAGAGAAGAATGGGAGAAACGCCCCAAATACAGGTGTGCCAAGCTTGTAGCATCATACCCAAGAAGACACAAGGTTGTAATCGTTGCCAAATGTTTTCAACAAAATACTGAGTAAAGGGTCTGAATACTTATTTAAATGGGATATTTCCGTTACATTATTATTATTTTTTGCTGAATTGTCTAAAAACCTGTTTTCGCTTTGTCATTATGGGGTATTGTGTGTAGATTGATGAGGAAACAAATGAATTTAATATATTTTAGAATGAGGCTGTAACGTAACAAAATGTGGAAAAAGTCAAGGTGTCTGAAAACTTTTTTATGTTTATGTGTGCATGTGGTCTGTGGCCGATTCTCTCTCTCTCTTCCTCCCTCTCCCTCTTTCTCCTCTCGCTCTCTCTCTCTCCTCCCATTCTTTCACTCCCTCTGCCACTCCATCTCTCATCATCAAATTCACATCAAAGGTCTTCCTGACCTCTTCCTCCTCCTTTGTGTGTCTATGTGCATGCATGCGTGAGTGCGTGTGTGTGTGTGCACTGCAGTCACATTTAGAGGAAGTAGTACTGGTCAGGAGTATAGTCTGTACTTCCTGTTTGGTGACATCATAGCCCCCCCCCCCCCCCCCCCCCCCTCATTTTCATAACATCTGACTAAACTCATCATTCCACTCAATGTCAATGGTAAATGGTCCGTCCCAAATGGCACCCTAGTCCCTATATAGTGCACTACTTTGACCAGGGCCCATAGGGAGCCATTTGGGACACAGTCACAGTCAGCAGTGCCTTCACAACCATGTTATGATAATTCTGTTGATTGTAGCACTGCATGGTTTCTATCTCTCCATATGTCTGTCTGTCTGTCTGTCTCTCTCTGTCTGTCTGTCTGTCTGTCTCTCTCTCCTCTCCTTCATCTCCTGTCTCCCCTGTCTATTTTCCTCTCTTCATCCCTCCTGCCCTATATCTCTCCTCTCCTCTCTCTCTCTCTCTCTCTCTCCTGCCCTCAGTCTCGCCTCTCCCTCTTTCTCTAATACTGTATGGTTCTAGCAACACCGAGTTTGGAGGTTAGATTCCTGCATGAGCCACACAACCTGCTGTGTACTGAATGTGTGTATAACTTTAGTATCTGATAAATGCCAGTTAAAGGGGTCAGAATCCATGATAAAGCTTATTTTTAGAGCTACAGTAGTCCAGTGGTTTTCAAATAATATGCCATTTAGCAGACGCTTTTATCCAAAACGACTTACAGTCATGCGTGCATACATTTTTGTGTATGGGTGGTCCCGGGGATCGAACCCACTACCTTGGCGTTACAAGCGCCGTGCTCTACCAGCTGAGCTACAGAGGACCACATAACAATTGTCTTCTTTTTGTTAAACTACTTTATTACTTAGCTATTTGTGTATATTTTTGATCATGTGTATTGCACTGTTGAGGAGAGCTTGTAAGTAAGCATTTCACTGTACCATTTACACCTTGTATCCTGTGGAGGTGACGAATAAACTTTGATTAGAAGATTACTGCACCATTGATATCAGCTATCATAGTCAAGATAACGGTGACTGACTTGACCAGCACTCTCTTGCCATCATTGACATTAAGATGAACTTGCTAAAATGTGAAAACACAATATACATCACGATCCTAACTAATTAAAAGTAAGCAACTGCGTTAACTCTGCATGATTTATCTTCACAATGACAGGGGGTGCACCGTTCCTGGAGGTACTGCAATACCAGGTCGATGCGTGGAGTGGACGGAGCAAGCCCCTATTCCATCTCCCTATTCCAAAAATCAATTTAATATATGGTCCCCAGATAAGGGACGTATCAGATATTAAACTGATAAGAACAGATTTTTTTTTTTTTTTGGAAAAGTTTTTATTTGTCAATTCCTTTAAAACAGCTCACATTTGAAATACATTTACACACATAAAAACGGCATAAAGTGCATTAAAACCAGCATTATATTACAGTTACATTTTAAAAAGGTACATGTTGTTTATTTAAAACAATAAAACAATCCTACATAAAAGTACCCATTCCTGTAAAAGCCAATTACTAAGAGCCATTTAAAATGTGCATAAATGATTTAACAAAGTTAAAACAATTTTAAGACATAAAAAGCCTGTCAAAAAGTCACTTTGTAAAAAAGCTGTCTTCGGTCCTTTGTACAAAAACGGGGTGAGTCCTTATCAAAAAAGCCTCCTCCTGCTCTTCCTGAAACGACTCCGTACCCGTCCGTCGGGGCCCAGAGGAGACTCCTCCCCTAGGCGCATCGCCCTAGGCACCGCAGCGCTGTCAGGCCGTGGCCGCCGGGACCTTAGATGTTGTGGGGGACCCTTCGCCTGGGGTCGAGGCCCCCTGTCGTTCATACCACCCCAGGGCTTCCGTGGCTACCAAAGCCACTGCCTGGGGGGTGGTCTCAACCTGTTTCCCTACCAGCAGGTTGCGGGAGGACCACAGTGCGTCCTTCAGACACGTGAGGGTGGGCCAGAGTTGTGCGAAGGCCTTTGTTGTAATAGGCCTTCGGCCCACCCCATACAGCACGAGCTGGGGCGTTAGGTCCTCCCCTGCTGGCAGGCGTGGGGAGATCAGGGGGCCTGCTTCCTTCCACAGGTCCCGTGCGGCTCTGCACTCCCAGAGCAAGTGCCTCACCGACTCTTCTTGGCCGCAGCCTGGTCGGGGGCACGCGGATGTCCTCGCCATGCCCCGGGAGTGCATAACGGCCCTGACCGGGAGGATCTCGTGGGCGACCATCCAGGACAGGTCACGGTGCCGATTCAGCAGAGCAGGATGGGACACGTTGCGCCAAACCGTTGAGGGCTCGCCTATAGCAAGCCCGCGCACTGGACACACCGGTTCCCGTTCCTGCACAAGAGAGAGAAGAGAGCGGTGTTTAGTTAAAAACAGTGACAGGCTCCTTTTCCAGTTTAAAATGTCTTAAAAACGTTTTGAGCTGGACGTAGTGTGTGGGGAGCAGGAAAGAGACTGGGGCTCGCAGGTCGACTGGGATCAACCTCAGAGACCTGAGGTAAGACCCCAGCCAGAACCGTGCGAGGGCCTGGGTCTTGTTGTTGACCGGGGAGGTGGCAAGAGTAAGGTGTAACGCTGTATAGCGGCTGCCCAGGAACAAGTAGAGGTCAGGCAAGCCTTTCCCCCCCTTGAACCTGGGCCTCTTTACCACCTCCCTCCTCAGCCTCTCCCACTTGCTTCCCCACAGGAAATAAAAGAGCATCCGGTCCAGAGCTAAAAGAGTTGTTCGTGGGGGGATAAAAACAGAACTGATCAATAAAAGGACAGGTAAAATCACAGCCTTGATGATTAAAACCTTGCCCTCCAAAGTCAGCTGTCTCAGTCCCCAAAACCCTAGTCTCTGTCTAACTGTCCCTAACGTCCCGGTCCAATTCCCACTACCACCTCCCTCCCTGTCAAATTTAACCCCTAGAACCCTAATGTCCGTCATCCTAACAGTCAGTGGTAGTCCTGTCAAGTCTGAGTCTGCCCACGGTCCGAAAAATTGGGCCTCTGTCTTGTCTCTGTTCAGTCTCGCCCCAGAGGCTCGTCCGTACCAGTCAGTCCTGTCCAGAGTCCTGTCAACAGATAAAAGGTCAGTGCATAAAATGTTGACGTCGTCCATGTAAAAAACGCACTTGGCGGTCATCCCCCCACTCCCCGGGATACCCACCCCACTGATCCGTTGGTCCCTTCTCAAGACCTGTGCCAGTGGTTCTATGCAGGCCACAAACAGGAGGGGAGATAATGGACATCCCTGACGGACGCCGCAGTGTACTCCCACTGCTCTTGACAAATGCCCA